TATTATAACTAAAAATAATATAATTTTATTTCCGAATACTAAAGTCTAATTCTAACTAAGGTCTAACTTATACTATTTTAGTATAATATTTCTTATTCTATTTCTTCTATTTCTTTTCTTTCTATAGTTAGCCTCTATTTCTATTATTTCTATATACTATACTAGTAACTATATCTTATAGCTAACCCGTATTCAAGTTACTAGATATATTAGAAATTAATATAAGATACTAAGATTAATATTTATATATTCTTAATATTTTGGCCTTAGGCTTTAAGTATTATAATAGTTCTTTTCTTCTCTAACTTACTAAGCTAATAATTTGCCTTATAAATACTCCTTAGAACTTTATAAGAGTATTACCTTAACTATAAAGTTTCTATTCTTCCTATATTACTTACTATAAAATATATAAGAAAGAAACTATAATAAGACAAAAACCCATATAAAGTATACTAGAGTATAAAACGTGACTTAATAGTAAAATAATAAATCAAAAGCATAAATAGTAAAATATAAATAATATATAATATATAAAAGTTTAATTAATTAAATACTTATAAAGAATTATTCTCTAAGTCTATAGAAAAACTAGCTTTCTTATATGATTTCCGCAAGTTATATATAAAAGGCTATAGCCTTTACTATATAACCTAAACCTTAAAACCGCCAAAATAATATGATTTTCAATAAGTATGGCCTGCCGTACTATAATAGCTAGTAAAGCTAAACTATAATATTTATAATAAAGAAATACTTGCTATTATTTTTTCCTTAACTAAATAGCAAGCAGAGTTAGAAGGCCTATAAGAGGCACTATTTATAATTTATTCAGACTACTAAGCCTTTAAATACTTTATAACTATAAAGAAGCTTTTAGTAAAATAAGTTTACTAAATAAAATACCTTTCTTATTACTATTTTAAGCTTATATATTAGGCCGGCAAGTCAAATAAATAAACAAATACCCTAAGTAAGAAGTATAAGAATATAACTATCTAAAATAAGGTAATAGTAGCTTACTAAACCCAAATTTTCCTCTTATAATAAAAGATTAATAATAATATTATACGGGATTTCTAGTTAGCTCTAATTAAGGCCTTTATAAGCCTGGTTTAGAAAGAAATCTAGTATAATAGTATCTAGCTAATAAATAAGTTATTAAGTAAGAACCGAGAATTACTAGAGCTAGAAAAGCTATAGAATAAGGCAAGAAATAAGAAAAAAAGTACTTAAATACTATAAGACGGCCTTTTCTTATAATATAGTAAACTATTTATATCTAATAATATAATAATACCCGAGATATTCTTATATATTATTTTTATTTAGGAGATATATATAGCCCCTAATAGAATATTTAGGATAAACCAAGCTTTAATAGCTTTTTTAGGCCTACTATTATTAGCTAGGCCAAGATATAGATATTAATTAGTATAGGAATAATTATTATATTTATTAATAATTTCATATTTCTAGAAATAAAAAGCTAGGGCTCTTATATTTATTACTAGTTTCTAACTACTCCTAGTAATATATATTAGTAGATTTCAAGAAATGCCCAGAAAATAGAAATAAGTATAATATAATAGTAATTTTTATTAATTACCTAGATAAATACCCTATTATAATTCTCGTTCGAAATATAATAATAACTAAAGAATTAATACTCCTATTTCTTACTTATATAGTTTACTAAGTTAATATTCCAGAGACTATAATATCTAATTAAGAACTCTAGTTTATATTAGATTTCTAGAATAAGTTCTATAAGTATATTAATATAAAGCTCAAGTTATTAATTACTAATTATTCCTAAACTAATAGCTAGATAGAGATTATTAACTAGTACTTTAACTAATAACTATATTCCTATATAAATTACTATTAGAATAATTAGAATAAATAGATAATAATAATTAATTACTAGTAAATAGCTCTGGTTTATAAAACTATAAACTAATTCCTATTTCTTATAAAAAAGGGCTATAAACCGCAGATATTATTTAACTAGAAAACCCAAATATAATTAGATATCCTAAAAAAAGAGCTAAATAAGTAAGAAGTAAAGGCCCTAGTAATATAGTTCTATAAATTATAGTAAAAGATATAGGAAAATATAATATAAATATAAGAGTATTATACTATCTAAGCTAATAAGTATTACTAACTAGTAGATTTTGAAATAAGAGATAAGATATAGATTATTACTAAATACTAGAAAAATAACTATCCGAGCTATAAGCTAGCTTACTAAATAGAAGAACTATATAAAATCCTGAAATAAGTAAGATATTTCTTTAGGCTCAAGCTTCCGGAATTAATAAGAATATATCTGGTATTTTATATAAAGAAGCCATATAAGAATCGAGGTAACTTCTTTCCCGGATAAGTGAATCCGGAGCCTTTATTATTAGAACTATAAGACAGGAAAACGGAATATAAAGTTCAAGAGGTACTAATAGTAAAGCTGCTCTATAGGAAGCTCAAATACCGAGTCTAGTAGAAAGAATAGGATTCAGATCCGGAGTAATATCCTATATCCTTATTAAGTAATAGTACCCTGGCTCTTTAGAGCTTCTATAATAAGAATCCCGAATAGCTAGAACCGCTCTAGAACCTCTCTTATTAGTTAGATTATACTAAGAATAATATATTACCGGAATTATATAATATAGACGGAAATCCTTACAAGTTATATATAAAAGGCCCTGGCCTTTTATATATAACTGCAACTTGAGAATTAGACAGGGACTTTTGAAGCTCGGAGACGAGCTTACTTTAAGAAAAGAGGTAATATTATAGTTATTATAATATATGGTACTAGTAGGAATTAGACTTAAGCGAGGCATCTGGTATCTAAGCATGGCATCTGTAGTTACCTAATAGTTATATGTGACCCCGAGCTTAAGCTAGTATATAGGCCTATATATAACTTACAATTATTTAGATCCGAGGCTCCTTCGAGATCCTCTTCTCTCTTTAGCTTTAAATTATCGAAATAAAGATAGTCTAATTATGCCTTCTAGGCCTTAGATCTTATACTTATAATATTACTTATATAATAATTCTAATTTATTTTAGAGCCTTCTTTTTAGCTAATTTGGTTTTTATAAGCTATTTCTTTACTTTTTTTTAATTTCTTCTTTATTAGAATATTAGATATATTTATTTATTTCCCTTTTTAGAAACTAAGTTATATATTTAGCTTAGTTTTATAATATTTAACCTATATTTTATAAGTATTCTAGATATCTAATTCTTATAAACTTCTAAGTATTAGATAGTTTTTAGTAGCCTTAATTATAACTAAATACCTTTTATAAGAAAAAAAGCTTAAAGTATCTAGAATCTTATTATTAAGATTATTAAGTTATAAAATATATTTATTATATAAAGAAAGAAATTTTGGAAAAATAAATAATTAGTATTTATAAATAGAAATAGAAATAAATATAATAAATTATATATTTTTTATATCTAATTTAGTTTCTAATTTAGATCTAAACTCTATAAATTAAAGACTAATATTATTTTCTTTTTTTTATTATATTTCTTAAGCTTTTTCTATATTATTTTAAAATTAATAAGCCAAATTCTAGTATTCTAAAAGATATATTTAATTATATAAATAATAAATATCTTTTATTTTATTTTAGGAAAATTATAAAAAAAGTACTAGATATTATATTCTAACTTATATAAATGCCCTTATTTATATATTTAGTAAAAAAGACTATAATAATCTTATAACTAGTTATATTTTTATAGAATTAGAAAACTATAATTATAATTCCAGGAATAATAACTATTAGTAAAATTACTTTATTATTTATAGACATATATTTAATTATTATAAGAAATATACGATTTTCTAGTATTCTAATATATATTTTCTTAATTCTAATTAGAATAACTATTTTCTATTTTATAAATATATAAATTCGAACTCTTTTTTTATTTATATTATATATCTAATTATTATAATATATACTAGTTTCTTTAAATACTAGATAATACTCGATTTTAAACTAGTTATAAAGGCTTTATTTAATATAAAGATTAATATAATAGCTTATAATAGACTTTATTTTAATTAAATAAAGTTCTAGAATATTCTTTAGCTATTAAAAGAACTATTTCTAAAAGAAAGCTATTTTATTATTTTCTATTTATATTTATATTATATAATTATATATTATTTACTTTATAGCTTCTTTTCCTTTATTAATTATATATAATATTATATACTAAATTAATATCTTATATTAATTAGAATATAGGATCTTATTTTAGCCTCTTTATTATATTTTCTTTTTCTTTATTCTCTTTCTATTTCTTTATTATATTTTCTATATAATATCTTTACTTCTAATATTATATATATATATATATATAGTAATAATAGAATTCTTCTCTAAATTCTCTTTATTATGCTTCACTGCTTCACTAGTAAATTTAGCGTCACGTGACCGCGATAACGCATGCGGCTGGCTAGTATTTAGAACACCAAAGCTCCTGTATATACGAGCTTCCCTCCTTAGTTTAGAATCCTCGGATTAAGAGCCACTCTACCTGCTTTCCAAGCCTAGAGCCCGGTTTCGTAATACTCTTTTAGGAATTAGATAGCCTTATAAAGCTTATTCTTCTCTAGTATATTATATAGAAGTATATTTATAAATAGGATATTTAGGCGAGCTATTATAGTTAAATTAGACAAATTTTATAAACTAGTAATATATAAATTAATTAATTTTTATTATAAGAGCTATATACAAATTCCAAATTTACGCATTTTGGTACGGGCCATCTCGCTTTCGCGGGCCAACTCGCTTTCCCCGACTAAAGGGAAGGGCCTCTTTAGTGCGACGTCAAGTCCGACTATTATAAGTTTATATATCCGTTGCGCTGCAGCCAGGTGCGGACCTCGCTAATAGATTTTCTTCCAGTTCTGAAGTGAGATAAAGCTCTATATAATAATAAGAAGTTTAATTTCTCTTATAGATTGTTAATTGTCCCTCTACACTACAAGTATACCATATTTGTTAGAACTGCTATAAAGGTTTGGTATAGCAATTGGAAATGGAAGCGTGTGAGTTTTGGTGTTCCTTAAGTTTAGCGAGGTCCGCACCTGGCCGCAGCGCAACGGATAAGAGCTCTAGTTTTGAAGCATGGGATAAGCGAGGCGATTATTGCGCACGAGGAAAATAAGTTCCAGGTGCTTAATCGCTAAATTTTCAGGCTTTCTTTAGGTCAGTGCTCCTAATTGACACCCCGCTTGCTTCTTAAACCGCAACGGTGCAACCGCTTAGTATAACTAATCAGTTAAAGCTCCTTGATACATAATCCGTATGGACGGAGATCGTCATCCCCAGGACTGATCCAATAATCGTTGCTGGCAACCCTGTGAAGATTGACTGGATTCACCCGATTCTGAAGGATGACTTTATACCTCCTCCCTTGAGCCGAAAACTCTTTGGCGTACGCCTCAGCGGTGGTGTGATTCGGTGACGAATAGATCCCTTGACCAAATGCAAAATGAACCCCTTTGGCCAATTTGTAACCCGCTTCAGCAATAGATTCTGCGTTTTGCTTGCCTGTGCCGTGATACGAAACTGGCCATTCGCCAAGCCCGTTTACACTACCCAGCCAAGTATCTGAGTCAAACTTGCCGCTCGCCTTGAGCGCATAGCGCAGCCATCCACAAGGACGCTTGTATACATCTCCACCACGATAGTATGTGGTACCAGCATCATTGATATGCGTAAAGTCGTAGTCGTAAGGCGGATCAAGAAAGCCCTGCGGGAGGTACATTCCTGAGGGGCCACCGCCCCGGATTCGAAGAGCTAGGTGGATAGTCGAATCTCGTTGAACACCATAGTCGCGCAGAGTAAGACCGTCTGCGAGCTGTCTACCACCGTAAACGAGGCGTTGTTCCTCAGGTGGAAGGCCCAACTTCTCAGCGATCTTGTGCTTGACATTGCCAAATGTGTCGCTTAGTGTGACCCAGATAGTAATCGTTTCGCCTGTTAATGTTTTGACGAAGATCGTGAATGAGCTCAGGATCAAGGCGTACGTTTGGGGCGGTTGCGTTGGCGGTGTCGTCAGCCCTGGTGGTGACTGTCCTGGTGGTGGTGACGGCTCTGGTGGTGATGACGGCTCTGGTGGTGATGACGGCTCTGGTGGTGGCGGCCCTGGTGTCGATGACGGCCCTGGTGTCGATGACGGCCCTGGCGGCGCTGCTGGTGCAACTAATACCGTCTTGTGGAATGCCACCATGTCAAGCGGCTGAAAGTCCAGTGAGGGATTGCGTTGGTGCTCCTCATACGTAATCACAGGACATCCGACGAGAGCACTAACAGCCGCGGTGAGAAGTTTTGGGTCGAGAGGCATTTTCTTGTGTAGTTATCGAATATGACGAGGAAGTGCTTGACTGTCACAATGTTTGGGGGAGTGAGGGGTGTTGGCGTTGTATTGAAAAAGGTTCAGAGCAGTTGGAATAACAATGCGCGAAGATGAAGACTTCTGGGTGTTGTTGGAAAAGGAAGAGGGAGGGAGAAGGACGAGCGAGCAATGGGAGTCGCGAAGATTATCATACCGCTCTGTGCCGCTAGTACTACCGAGGCCGATAGCGATGCTCCTGCCAAAACCCCGAAATGACATTGCATAATGCATTTGCGTACATTGCACTCAATACTAGAAAATCAAAATTTAATAATTAATAATTCTATTACTAATATGTAATATCCAAGCCTTATTAGATATATTTAAGTCATTTTGGGCTAATTAGATAAAGCAGATAGTATTAATTTTAAGAATAATTCAAGTTAATAGATTATAGAAATATAAAGCCTATTATTTATATAACTTATTTCTTTTCTTTAATACCTTATAGTACTAGAAACCTAATAGATTTATGTAATATTAAATTAATAATAGAAATATATATAATAGCAAATAATTTGTTCTATTTATATGCCTTTTTAAGCCTTAGAAATATATATATTTCTAGGCTATAAATATTTAGATAAAAATATTAGTTTATTTATTATTAATAAGTATTTACTATTAAATCTAATTAGTTAAAATATATTAAGAATAAAATATTACTAATCTAGCTTTATAATACTAATATATATATATATAATTAATATAGAAAATCAAAATAATAGTTAATTTTTTATTTATTATTAATTTTATTAATTTTAGCTTTTCTATAGGTTTTCTATTTTTATACTAAAATATAAATAAAGAAAAAGGAAAAAGAAAGAGGAAAAGAAGATATATATATATAATTTAAAGAAATAATTACTATATATTAGAAGTACTAATTTTTAGTAATTTTCAAGTAATTTTCGAATATTTCTTATTTTATTTTATTTTATTCTATTATATTTTATCTTATAGGCTTTCTATTTATATATCGGAATATAAATAAAGAAATAAAAGAGAAAGGAAAAAAGAAAGAAATATTTATTTTTAAAAGAAATAGTTATTATATATTATAATTACTAATTTTTAAATAATTTTTCTGTAATTTTTAGTATTTCTTATCCTATTTTATTCTAATTAATATAAAAATACTACTAATTACTAGAAATTTAAAATCTCTATAATATTTATTAACTAGTTATATAATAAAAATATTAAAGTTAGTATATAATACAGATTATATATAGTCTAGAAATTAAGTTTATTTATATTAACTAGTCTCGTTTTTCTAATATTAAAATACTAACTTTTAATATTTTATAATATAAATTTAGGAACTAAATTTTAAAATAATATTAATAATAATAAAATATATAATAGTAAAAAATTATTTTATCTTTTAATTTATTTAAATAGAAATATATATATATATATATTTCTATATCTAAATATTTAAATAAAAGAATTATTTTATTTATTATTATATAGTTTATTATTATTATATTCGGATTTTTTATAGAAATTAAAAATATAATACTATTAATTTTACTTAATAATATAAAAGTATATATAAAATTAATATAAAAAATAAAAGTAATTAATAATAGTTTTTCTACTATAAGGCTTCTAGTTTAATATTTTATATATTAAGAAAAGAAATAAAAAAAATAAAAAGAGAAAAAGAAAAATATATATATATAAATAAGTAAGTAATTATAATAATAAAAGAATTATAAAAATATAAAGTAAGTTATATAATATTTATTTTATATTAATTACTTTTTATTTTAATTATTTAAAAACTTCTTTATATTATCTAATTTTTCTTTTTTATAATTATTTTTCTATTATTATATAATTTCTATATAAGTTTTTAATATATTTTAAATAGAAATAATTTATTAAAAAATAATTCAAATTTAAGGCCTATACTAGTTACTTTTATTTTCTATTTCTTTAATATTTTAATATCCTTTTTTAATATAATTACTATAGCTATTTATATAAATTAAAATAATTTCCTAATTAATAATAAAAGTAAACTTTGAGTTATTATTATTTAAATAAGCTATTTCTTTTATTAGATAATATATAAGACTAATATAATTAGTTCTAGGCTTATAAAATAATAGTAAAATAAAATAAGATTATTAGTATTAATTAAATATCTAAAAAAAACTTATTAACTTTTGAAATTATAATATAAACTATATAAATACTTTTCTAATTAGTAAAATATTATATAATTATTAAGTTTTTAAAACTATTCTAATTTAATACTAATAAGTTATTTAGCTAGTCTAGTTATAAGACTTTTCTAATTAGGTTTAGTAAAGTTTTATAAACTACTAACTTATATAAAACATATATAAATAAATAAGAAATCTTTATAGGCTATATTAAGCTAAAGAATTATTATAGTAATATATATAATAATTATAAGAAACAAAATAAAGAAACTAATTATAAAATAAGAAATATAAATAAATTACTAAAAAAGAAATATAAAATAATAAAAGAAAAAAGAATTATAAAGCTAGTTAATTATAAATTAGTTAATAGAAAGAGGATTTAATAAATAAAGCCTAGTTATATAATAAATAAGGGAATTTTATATATATAAAATAAATTAAAACTTTAGAAATAGCTAGTTAAAAGCCAAATAAATAAATGTGTTTTAACTAAATATAATATTATAATAAAATATTATTATTATATTATAATAATAATATATAAATAAATTAAGAAAAAAGAAAAATATAATATAAATAGCTAAAACTTAAATATAGGAATATAACTATATAAGCCTATATATAATTATTAATATATAATTATTAATATATAATTATTATATAATAGATATTCCTAAAAAAGAAAGAATTATATAATTTTCTATATTATATATATATATAATTTATTTATATATATAGGCTAACTTTTCGAAAAAAAAATAGAAAATTAAATAAATTCTATTTAAAAGCTCAAAAATAGCTATATTTAATATCTTTGAAATTTATTAAAATACCTAATTAAATACTAGTAATTAAAGCCTTCTAATAATACTATATATATATATAATATATAAGAAATATAAAAAAGAAATAGAAAGCTATTAATAAGCTAAGAAAAACTATTTAATAATAAAAGAAAAAGAAAGCTATTAATAAGTTAACGGAATTATTTAATAATAGAAGAATAAAAAGACTTATTAATAGGAAAGTAAATTATTTAATAATAGAAAAATAATAATTAAGGCTATATAAAATATATAGAAATATTAAATTAATAGGCTATTATAATTAATATAAAGATTATTTATAATATAGAAATATTAGAAAAATAGTATTAGTTGTAATTATTAAAAAGTAAATCTAATACTTTAATTTAAATAATAATAATTATTATATAAATAGTAATAACTAAAAATTTATTTATTTATTAAATGAAATATTTAATTAAGAAATCTAATTAAAAGAAAAATATTAGTTTCTAATTAATAACTTAATTAGAAAATAAAGCTAATAAAGACTTATTAGAGAAATATAAAGAAATCTATAAATAATTAAAAATAAGAAAACTTTAATTAAATTACATTAAAAAGTATTATTATTATTTATTATAATAAAATATTATTATTATATTATAATAATAATATATAAATAAATTAGAAGAAAAGAAATATAGTATAAATAACTAAAGCTTAAATATAATAAATATAGTTATATGAGTTTATATATAATTACTAGTATATAATTACTAATATATAATTATTATATAATAGTTAATAGGCTTAATAATATATTTTATATAAGTTATATAATAGAATTATTTAGAAGAAATAGGTTTAATTATTTTTAGATATTAAAAGGAAATAAATATTTTCTAATATTTAATATTAGTAATAAAAGTAGAAATAAATAATTAGATTAAAGATAATAAATAATTATTAGATTTTAAAAAAAAATTAAAAAGTTTAGAAAATAGCTTTTCTAATATAAATATATTAGATTCTAATAAGAATATAAAAATTAGGTAATTAGATAAACTTATAATAAACTTTTCTAAAATAAGTTAATTTATAATTAGATTAGAGTTTATTAGTAAATCGAGATTCTAAATAAATATATATTAGAAAAAAAGAATTAAAAAAAATAAGTTTATATAATTATTCTAAATTTTATTTAAGAATTAATAATAGTAAAAGGAACTAGAAGTTTTATATTCTAGTTTATTTATTTTAAAAGTTATTTTAGGAATTTTATTTCCTAAAATAACTAATTATATTTTTAGAATTTATAATAAAGAAATTATTAGAATTAAGAATATAATTAAACTAAATTAGCTTTTTATATTTAATATAATTAAATATTCTAAAAGTATTATAATTAGATATATTATTTAGTATTTATATAATAATACTTATTTTAAGTTTTTAGATATTAGTAAATAATAGCTTAAAGTTATAAATATATTTCCTAACTAATTAGATTATTAATAAAATAATATTATAAAACTTAAAGTTCTTTTTATTACTAGAATAAAATTTAAATTATTTCTTTTAAAACTAGAAAGAAATATAGTTATTATATTATAAATAATTATAAAACTAGTATTTTTTAAATATTAGTTAAATATATTTTAATATAAATTCCTTAATAAAGGAAATAATATAATTTTAGAAGTAATAAATATATTTAGTTATAAATATTAATAATTATATAATATAAAAAAAAAGAGAATATATTTACTAGCTTTCTTATATTTTAATTATATTTTAATATTCTTCTAATAAATATCTAGTAATATATATTCGAATTTATATATAATCTAGTATATTAGAAACTTTTTTAATATTAATTATATATATATATATATTTTTACTAAAATTATTTATTAGCTATATTAAAATTATTATTAGTTTACTAGTAATATATAGTACTATTATATAGGCATAAAAGTACTATTTATATAAGATTAGTAAAGTTATTATTATCTAGAAATAAGAATTATAGTATTATAGTATTAATATATAATTCCTAAATCTGCTAAGCCTAAAGAGATCTAGTTTACTAGTCGAGTTACTAATAAGATATAAGGTTATATAACTATATC